TTCGTTGTGTGGTTGTTTTGCAATTGGAGGCTTGGGGCTAATAGTTTTTTACTTGTACCTTTAATAAATGCATTTATCAAACTTGTTTGAAGTGCCTTGTATGTGTGTTTCAGCTACAATTCCTCCCTCTCCCTCTTTTTTGTTCTTTTGGGTAATAAGGTTTCTTCTTAAAACAGTACCGCAAGTTTGATGGAAATCAGGATATTCTGGAGTGCAAAATTTTGGCTTCAGTGGCATAAGGATTATTAAGTAATCAGCACATTAGATTTCTTAAGTTTTTAACATTTTATGAAAACTGCAATTACTTTTTTTTTTTTTTTTTTTAAGCTGAGCCATCCTGCCACCTGTTGGCAGCTCAGTGGCTGCTCAGCTCAGGCTGGGAATCGAAAAGTTTTTAACATTTTAAGCAAAATGTTATTTGTTCTTTAATTCATCATTTATGAAGAAGAACTTTGGTCTTCCATCTAATCATATGATTATGTGTCATATTAGGTTTTAGGATTGGGGTTTTATATTTCTTGTTTCTAAAGATTGGCTTTATTTTGCAGAGGTAACAGATACCTGCTGGTATGTCATAGATTTAGTGTCGTCTTTCTTTTGCCTTTTGGGATGTGTAGTTGGCATTTTTCAAGGCCCTGCAATGTTGTTTGTAATTTAAGCACCATGTCAAAGCCATGGACAAAGGACTTAAAATCTGGCAGTGTTTTTTTTCCCCCCTACCAAGAGAAATATTTCTAGGTTGTGATCGGAGGAAAGAGTTTTGTAAATATTAACTTTTTCTTATTAATAGAGACTACATTTTGATCCACTGCGCTGTTTGTTGACAGACTTAGAGGCAAAGAGGAAGCTCAGGCTTTAATAAGAAGGTCAAGCCTTGTGTGATTGGGGTGATGACTGGACCAAGCCCATTCCTTTGGTGGTTGGTACTCAGGCTGCCCACTGGTTTTGGTTATAATTAGAGGTATCACTTTTAATTGTTCTAAAGGTAACTTGTGTTTAGCTTTGAATAACTTAAAGGTCTCCTGAGTCATTTAAGTTACTTCTTTAAAGTAGTTCTTAGGCCCAGATTGCACTTTGAGAGACTGGAATAATCTTTTCTTCAAGGAATTTTCATCGACTAGTTATTTATTATTGTAGCAGTATATCCCTCTGAGGATTGTTTCAGAAATTAGGAGGCTGTGGGGGAAAATAAGCTCCTTCTGTTGCATTGATTGAGCTTTTACTATGTCCAAAGATCTTTATACACACACACACACACACACACACACACACACATATGTATATGTATATGGTTATATCATCTGTTGTATTGTGAGGTAGAAGCTATCTTATTTTACAAGGGGTAAGGTCACACCCCTTGTAAGAGGTAGACTTGGAATTCAAACCCAGTCCTCTCTGACTTCAAATTCGGAGTCCATGATCTAAGAGCTATATTTCTTTCCTTCCCAAAAGTGATAGCGCAAGATAGGCCATTCAGGTAGTGTGACCGGTTAGTTTTAGTTTTCATTGTAAAAAGATTATGACGTACCTTCAAATAGTCATCTTTTATAGACAACTGTGCCTGTAATCTATTACTCTAACTAAACCCTTCTGAACCTTGTTTATCACTAGTCAGTTATTCAGTAATCATTTAAGTGTTACCATGTGCTAGACAGTGGGGAGCTTATGTTGGTCGACCTAGAAATAATCCTGGCTCTTAGGGATCTCTGCGGACCATAAATCATATTTGTTTTTGAGCGAGTGTAGGTGGGCAGAAAGTCAGTCCCGGTCTGAGCCCGTAGCACAGTTTTGCTCCAGTTTTGTGCACAGGGCTCCCTTCTGTTGATTTTATATAACTGTCCCACCTGCGAGTCTCAGATTAAGAAAATAAACATAACTTGGTTAAACATTTAAAAAAAATTGTCTGTATATGAAGTGCACCAGGATGAACCAGACTTTGATCATATCCCAGGAATATAATTAAGCAGAGTTGGCTCCCAGGCAGAACTGTGCAGAAGTAGTTTCTGTGCTGCCCAATGCCCACCACTTTATATAAGAGACGGCTGCAGGAAAACACCAGTTCTAGCTTTCCCAAGCTGTCAGGCCCCTTCTTTCAACACATCTGATGAAACATAAGAAAGAATGATTATTTGTTATGCTGATGTTCTGGATAAACAGGTCCTTTTCCCACCCATGCCTAATAGTGTCATTGCCTCTCTTTGGTAATGTAAATATAGACTCTTAGACGTAAAATCCTCAATTAAAAAAAAATCAAAGTTGTACATGTACATGGACTAAAAACCAAATAGTTTTATTGGATTCAGATGGAAAAGAAAACAGCAATTATGTACTCTTCCTTTTTTAACTCCTTTATTTCCATTAGCTGTTGTTATCTTAGTATTTATTTCAGTTATTTTCAAATATCATACTTTTTGATTCTTTTTCTCCCAGTCTTACACATAGATTGACTTGGTGCCATGAACTATGAGGACTTAAAAGGTGTTCATTTATTCAACATAGATCTGGGATAAAATGTGTATTTTGAGCAAAATAGACATCATCTTTGCTCTAATAGATCTAGTAGAGGTCGATTTAAATAAAAATAAAAGTAATACCATATTTCCCCATGTATAAGGCACACCTTAATTTTGGGGCCCGAAATTTGAAAAAAAATGTAATACATAAAATTATTGAAGTCAAGTTTTATTCTTCATAAAATTCATACAACTCCTCATCACTGTCAAAACTCCCAACCATTAGCTTGTTCTCATCTGTGTCTGATGACAAATCACTGTCTTCATATATTGCCTCTCATGGCCTTCTTCTGCTGTGGCATTTTCAGTAGGGTTTCTTCTTCCCATAACCAGTCTCGGATTGTTTTCTCAGTTGGAGGAGGACCAAACTTACGTTCAGCAGCACGATTTCCATTCACTTTTGCAAACTGGATCACTTTTAACTTCAATTCAGCACTGTACGAAAATCTTTTCTGAGCCATTTCTCGACAGAACGTGGCAAAACGTAACCTACCGTAATATCCCGGTAACAAGTGTGAAACAATGAGCGCAAAGACGAGTGTGAAAAAGCGGGAAATGCAAGTAAAAAAATCTACAACAATGAGCGCAAAAAGAAGTGTGAAAAAAGCGGGACATGCCAAGTAAAAAAGTCTACAAGCACTGTATAAGACACACCCAGTTTTTAGACCCCAAATTTTTTGAAAAAGAGTGCATCTTATACATGGGGAAATATGGTATATAGCTTACATTGTAATATGAAGAAAAAAAATTAGAAAGGAAGTGGCACAGATGTTGATTAAGATTTGGCCTGGGTAAGATTAGGACAGTAAACAGTCAAGTCAGAGACGCTGAGGTGGAAATATTCTTTTCTTTATAGTGGGGCATTGATTGAGATTTC